GAGGTGTTTCCTTTCCTTGACCAGGGGTCAAGTTTCTCAGCGACCGTCTCGCTGGTCCTTCCTGCTCTGTTTCGAATCTGATCTTCCACCTCCTCGCATCTGTCAATCGTCCATAGCAGTGACGTCAGTCTGGGCTTGGCTGGCGATAGTCTTGTCCGCGCTCGCCAAAGAACCTTGCGCCCGCGACGCCTGGGGGCGGCCCCCGCTCCGCCGCGTCCGTCTCGCGCTGCGGACACCCCCCGACCCGCCCGATGAGATTTCGCGTGAACTCTGCCGGCTCTCGCCGGGGCCGACGGAATTGCAGCGACTGCTCTAGGTCGCGCTTCGCCACTCGCCGCGCTGGGGCCCGGCTGCCGCGGCAATCCCTCGCGGAGATCGTTTCTTCAAAGCGCCATCTTTCCACCTCGCCCCCTTCCGTCGGCGTTCTGGCGTTCGAGTTGCACCGCGCTGTCCACAGCGTTTACGGCATGCTCATGAGACGCCTGGTGCCCAAATCTAAACAATGATATGCCTGTGGCGCCAGCCGCGAGGAATCGCGCGCGCCGCCCGAACTGAAACTATGAATTTCGGAAGTTTCGCTCTCGGCATCTCTCGAGAGCGGTTTCCCCTTCCTTGCCCGCGGCGCCAGTGTTTATCAGTCACGATGCGCGCGACGCTATTCACGGCGCCTCAAGGTCATCCACGGTAATGCCCGTCTGCTACTGGAGCCCGTTCACGCCTGTCCTTGAATTGTCCTGGCCGCGTCGCCGCGAGCCGCAGTGGCCCCCCACTTGGCCTATTTCCTTTCCCGTGAACATGGCTGACGATGACCTAGCAGCATCCTCTAGGGCGGTCGTGGGCGAGTCTCCATCGCGTCTGAGCGTCGCCCCCTGGTGCCCGGCGACCGACGGCGCGTCTGCCATCGCCCTCGTCGGCTAGCTGTCCGCGCTTTCCCTGTTGCGCACTCTGCTCTATGATATGGTTCTTCCGCGGCGCGCGCGCCCGCCCTCGGGCCGCGTGTCATCTGCGGAAACCGCGGATGCATCGTCGAGGTTAATCCAGTCTCTGACTCTGCGGGCCCTCTTCTGGCCTTCCCGCTTGCGCGGTGGCGACGCAAGTTTTATCTGTTAAGAGGCTGGTGCTGTCAGCTCGACGTCCTCCGCGATCGGCAGCGGGTCGCGCGCCGCTCTCTCTGCAATTTCAGCTCCCTCGCATCTGCGCGCGACTTTCTTCGCTCATTCGCGATCGACCACCTCGCGCGCGCCCCCGCCGATCTCCGCATTCCCTCGTTCGCCGGGGCTTGCGGGGCAAAATGGAAACGACTCTCCTGGGATATCCCCAGTCTCGGCAGGCCATCCACGTCGCTTTCCTCGCTCGGCCTGATGCGCCTGTCTCTCGGTCTTGCCTGCAGGGGCCCGATTCACGGTCAGCCGGGGTGCCCCGTTTCGCTCGGGGAGCAGCGTTCTCCTGCTCGAGGCCTCGCGCGACGTAGCTGCGCGATCTGCCGCCGCTGTCTCCGTCCAGCAGCATCTGGTTGCCCGCTTCTCGCTGGCCCGAGAACCTCCTCAACGCGCGCGGCGCGCATGGGCGCCGCTGCCATCTCCTACTTGTTCCGTCTTGATATAGCACGCGCTGTAGCGGCGATAATTTCTCGAAGAACCGGTCTGCTTGAAGGTGCAAGGGGTGGCCGCGCTGGTCGGTCCGACCGCGTCGCGCCCCCCTGAGTCCACGGCTGCCGCGACCGCTTCCGCGCGAGACTCAGTGTCCTTGTCGGTGGCGGCGTTCATATTGCCTGGTCGGATATTCCCCTCGCTCAGTCCCACTTCGCATCCCAGCGCCCCACAATGATCATATGTTTGGCACCTCAATCCCTCGCGCTTCATCTTGCGGCATCTGTCTCGCGCCGACTTGACCCATGCGTTCCCCAAGGGGCTCGCAGGGCTTCTCGGGGGTGGTCTGGCTGGCCCATGCCTAAGTCGCAACGACGAAGATCCACCTCTATCAGCGGTTGCCCCAAGATACATTCGCGCTGGCCGCTGTCAGCCGGCCCCGCCGACCCCTGCGTGCCCTTCCTGATCGTGCGAGTGGAGCTCTCGCTCGTTCGTGGGCGCGTGCGCTTCGCCGCCTGTTTTGCCCTCTGTCGCGCGGGCTGTTTTGCCTGATCCCTGTGTCCTCCGTAGTTTCCTCTAGTTTGCCATGTTGGCCCACTCGGGTATCCATCGCCTTCGGCGTTGCTATTGCCTCTGCCTTTGGCCTTGCAATCTCGGACACCATGGCTCTGTCTGCCGCGCTGGTGACGCGCCACCCGTTCCTTCTCTATGCCATTGCACGCGGCATTCACGTCGCCATCTCCCCAGCTCTGGCCCCCGTTCCAGCAGTTGTCGCTGTCATCCTTCATTGGCCACCTGCTGTTGCCTTCCTCATCGCAATCCCCCTTGGGTACCTCATGTTTAAGTGCCTGACTGTCCCTGAGCATCGTCTTTGCTGACTCTGACCATGTCCATGGCGTCGCTGAATCATACTGTCGGCGCCCAGTTGTTTCTTCCGCGCCCGGTTTTCGCACCTGAACTGGATATTTTGATCGGTCTTGGTGGTTCGCGCACTGGGTGTCTTGAAACAGCCCTGCTGTCAATCCACGGGCCATTTTCCTGATTCTCCTGCATGAGGCATGCTGATTTTTATGCCGTCATCTAGAACACTCGTGCGCTCCTGCTCGAGTTGACCTGGCGTGTCGCTCGCCTTTTGGGCCCTCTCAGGGTTCCTGGCAAGGTCCATATTTTGCTGACAGGGTTTTCCTCCATGCAGCGGAATGCCACTTACACATCTTCATATGCGCACTCAACACTTCGCGTCCTACTTGCCTGGCATCCCAATGATTTCGAGCGTATCGGTGAATCTGTGCCGCGGGACTTCGTCTAACTTGGCGATCTCGGCTTCGTCCAGGATCCGTTGCTTGTTTCTCTGGCCTTCCTCCGTTTTTTTTTTGTTTCATAAAGTTGTTTATGCTGCAGGAAGATAATGACGGGCAGTGCCCGTTGTGTACACCACTACGCCCCTTTACTTGCACGACTTTGCCAACTCGCGGACGCGCGGCTCACGCGCCTCTGCCTGCTTCGCGGGAGCCGTGTTTCCCTGGCGGTGCGGCATAAGAGTTTCTGCGCGAAGCGGCGGAAGTATTTGTGACGTGAGGGCGGCAGCCTTGCAGCTCGCTGGTGCGAGCTGATTCCTGGCGCTCCCTCCCCAGCTGGTGCAGCCCGTGCTTCGCGGGAAACCGTTCGCTGCCTATTTCGTGATCGTGACAGGGGGGCCCCTCGTCGCTCCTCAAACACCTTTTGGCCTGGGGGCTGGGGCTGGGGCCCCAGGAGCCCCTGGCACTCAAAGTCTGGCCCCGATGGCGCCTGGGGGCTGGGGCCCCAGGGGCTTCTCGCGCCCAGGGTTTGCCGATAAGGACTGCGCCCCAAAGGCTCCTGGTTAGGAGCTCTGCCCAACCCTCGCCGCTGTCTGGGGTTTGCGCCAGCGCTTTGTCCTGGCCGGGAATCTTCATGGTGAGAGACCCAGAAGGCTCCAGCCAGGCAACGCTTTCCTACATTCCCCTTGCTGGCGCAAGGGCGCCGGCCATCCTTAGTAGTGGGTCTAAACGCTTTTATGATTTTCGTGGCTGGTGTCATTCTATTCCGGGGTTGTCACGCGCTCGCCCAACATCATTATGTTGTCCTCTCCTTCACTGGGGCCGAGGACGGTTCGTTCATAGTCTCTTATTCCGATTACAGCGTTAAGAGGGACTTGCGGCTTCCATGGTTGATCTGAACCAGAGCGTTGGGCAACCGCTGGCTCAATTCGGGGAACTTGGTTCTGTCACTGCAGAAACTCTTTAATGATGAGTGGTCGCTTGCGGGCCTCTGGTGCATTTTGTTTTTGCCTGGCTCGGCCTTGTGTTCATCAAGGCCAATCAAATTCGTACCCATACTCTCTGCAAATTCCCGTTCCAGTTCAGCCGCTCTCGACGCCACTATCGCCGCTTCCGTCTCTTATCGGCTTTCCCTGTTGATTATGCTCGATAACATTGCGTTGGTAGTACCGAGCATTGTTATCAGTGACGTCGCACGTTCAACGGGTAATTCCTGGTTGCCTGCGCGCTCATGCTCACCCAAGTGATTTGTCATTGCGTCGCCATTGCCTTGCAGTGCGGTTCTGACAAATTCATAGTCGCCTTATTGGTTAGCTTCGGTCGACTCATGACTTGTCCTAGATATGCACGCTCCTGGTATCGCTGCCATAACCTCGCTCCGCTATCATGTAAATCTAACCAGGCGATGTAAATTAGGATTGCTCTCGGTTTTACAGTGGGCGGGCGGAACCTAAACTACACAAATGTGTCACACCGCCCAGCGGCGGTTACAATTGCTTGAGCCAAACGTCGGCAGCTGCACAGTAGCATGGGGGCCTATATCGAAACACTTCCTCCTCTTTCTCGTCCTCCTCCTTCCTACTCCTCCTCCCCCCTCTCCCCGTCCCTTTCCCCTCCGTAGGTGGGGACTGGTTCAAGGGGGGGGACATACGTCTGGAACAGGCGATACATCGTCGGCAGAGCGGAGGTAGGGCCCCGATAACGCAATCGCGAAGTCCTGGGCGGGGTGGGTTATGGGGCCCCCGTGGGCGATCAATTTGCGATCATGGGTCGATGCGTTCCCCCCTGAGCTTATGCCCACCTAGCGTTGCCTCAAAAGGGAGCGGGTGGGGTACCGTAGCCCAGAAGGGGCGCCAAGTAATCAGCGAGTCCTCCCCCTCCTCCTTCTGCCCCTTCATTTCCCTCCTCCCCCACACTCCCCCCCCCTCCCATCCACCTCTCTCCTCTCCCTCCTCCCTCCTCGCCCTCGCCACCCCGCCTCTCCTCCTCCCCCTCCCCTTCTTCCTCCCGCCCGGAGGGGTCCAAGAGAACTCCTGGGACCCTCCGGGCGGCGACGGCGACGGCGGCTGGCGGGTGCGCCCGAAGGAGAAGCGTGGGGAGGGAGAAACCAGACCTTGGCAAGAAGCTCCCTGTCGTCGGCGCCCTGGAACGGGGGGTAGCCGCACAGCAGGATGTGCATGATGACTGGCGCCCAGCGTCGCCGTCGCCGCCGTCCCCGTCGCCACCGTCGCCACCGCCGCCGCCGCCGCCGCCGCCGCCGCCGCCGCCGCCGTCGTCGTCGTCGTCGTCGTCGTCGTCGTCGTCGTCGTCGTCGTCGTCGTCGTCGTCAGTCGTCGTCGTTGTCGTCGTCGGCTTCCCGTCGCCAAGGCTGGACGCGGCCCGAAAGAGGTGGACCCCAGGAGGGGTCCGAGCCGTGGATCTCGATCTCGAGCGGGCTCCGATCGAAACGCCATCATCGCCGTCGTCTGCCAATGGACGGAGGTCGTCGGTGTCGCCAGAGGGCGAGGGTCGGGGTGCGTGAAGACGCGCCAGGCAAGCTGCAAATCCACTGCGTCGCTCGCAAGGCGCGCCCGCCCGCGATTTTTTACACGGCGTGTTCGCCCGCGGTACAGTCAGCAGGAAACGTTCAAGCCTGGTCATCTCCATCTTGAGCCTTCTCTCAACGTCTAGCGCTGACACGTGGACATGTCCGTGAGGATCATGAGCTGAAGACTCCTGCGCCCGGTGCGCGAATCGGGCTCGACCGGCCGCACGGCCCACGATATCACTCTCTTTCAACGCTATCGCCTCCGCGAGGAACGGCGAGACAAGCGTTTCCGTGTAGATCCCGCCCGTGGCGATATCAATTATCGCACTGACTCTGGCTCCCTTCTTGCGCGCTTCAACAACGCAAACTGCCGCTACATCAACTCTATACCATGCGCCACCGTCAGAATGACATAATTGTGACGTTGCACCATTTGGCTGGGATCTTCGGCTGTCGACATCATCCATGCACCCGATGCGTGCAGAACCGTCTCAGGAGGAGGCGAAGGGTGGAGAAGGAGGAGGAGGATGGGGATGAGGAGAGAGAGGAGGAATGAGAGGGTGGAGGAGGGGGGGAACAGGTGGGGGGGGGGCAGAGGGAGGCGGGGTGAGCCGCACAGCAGGATTTACGTGATAATGGCCGACGGGGAATGTGTCAGGACCCTTAGACCATTTCCCTTCCCCTCTCCTCCTCTCCTCCTCCTCCTTCTTCTCCTCCTCCCCGTCGAACGTCCAGCTCTCAATATTCGGCCCGTGGCAATCAACGCTCCCTAAGAGGGGGTGCAAGAGGAGAATCCCACCAGCACTAGTGGCGTGAGTGATTCAGAGTGTGTCAACTTCCATCTTCCCTCTTCCCCTTCCTTCGGGGAGGGGTTTACCCATCCCCCATACCCCCTCCCCGTCCCCCTGGGTCGTGACCCATTGGAGCGTCCAGTGCGGCCTCGGCGAAAAGGCACACACAATTGATTTGACGCAGGCTCTGGGCCATGTGGGGGGCGGGGCTACTTTACTACATCCCTATATGATCGAAGTCCCTCCAAGATGGCTCCAAGATGGCCCCCACGGCTCCCAAGAGTGCCCCAGGAGGGCCCTCAGAGGTACCCAGGAGGCCCCAAAGAGGCACCCAGGAGGCCCCACAACGCCCCCAAGAGGTCCCCCAAAGGCTCCAAAGAGACCTTCAACATGCTCTAAGAGGTTCCCCCACGGCACCCAAGACGCTCTGAAATGCCCCCCAGGACTGCCAAGAAGCCCCCAAGACGCCCCAAGAGGACTCCAAGATGCTCTCAAGAGACACACCAGGAGACGCCAAGAGGCATCCAAGAGGACTCTGGCCTTTCTGCTCGCCTTCCTCCTCCTCCTCCTCCTCCTCCTCCTCCTCCTCCTCCTCGTCCGCCTGTTCCTCCTCGCACCTCCCCTTCCCCTCCCCTCCTACTCTTCCTGTTCCGTAGCTACTTGGGCTCGATAGCACCGCTTTGCGCAAGCTGGTAATGGATACCTCTGATCCGCGGCCAGCCCCAGCTCTTTATCTAGAGCCTAACACCGCCCAATGTGAAGCATCACGCGAATTCGATCACGGCACCAGTGCCGCTTCTGCGCGCACGGAGGCGAGCGAACCCGACGCTCTCTTGGGGCCGACGAGGCCAGAACGGTCATGCGGCTCTTGCACCAGAGAGCTTATCTGGGCGAGCCGGATCGAGTGCGCATGCGGTCGCGACGCTCCTTGGGCCATCAGGGCCCAAGCGGTCGAGACACACAAGACTGCTAACGCACCAGGAGGCGGCGGTGGCAAGAAGGGAATCGGCGAGGGCGCTGCTGGCGGAACACGGCTCACGAGTCGTCCGAGCTCTTGCGGCGCTGGAGCAGAAGCTCGACGCCCTGGCCATCACCTCGTGGAGTACGGTCCGGTGGCAACTCATGGAAGCCTCCCTTACCATCTTGTCGGCTCTTGCGAACCGACGCTGGTCGAGGCTAGTTCGACGCCACGTCGACGCCAAATTGACGCTAATCGACGCTACACTAACCGACGCTAGATCGGCGCTGCCTTATCGACTTCCAAACGCTAATCTAGGGCGACGCAATCTATACATATCCACTGCTCCCTGGCCAGGCCCATCCTGAACACAGCAGCTGTGTATACGCCACGCCCTCCTGGTTTGGCCAGGAGGGCGTATACACAGCTCCTGGGTTCAGAATGGGCCTGGCCAGGGAGCAGTGGATATGTATAGATTTCGTCCCCCGATAATCGACACCAGCCGACGCCAAAAAAGGACTCAAGATGGTAAACCATGCTCCGATGAGTTGCTACCGCAGCACGGGGCCAACTACGGCAGCAGCCGGTGAGAAGTCCGAGGCCCCTTGGGCCAAGGATGGGGCGGCAAGAATGGGGGGGGGCAGCCCGTGCTTACGGACCCCACAGCCGACGACGGCAAGAGAGCCCAGATATCGCGCTGCAGATTCAGGAGCCCAAGCTGTCTCAGAAGCACATGCAGGAGAGCCCAGAATCGAATCGATAAGTCGAATCGGCGATCGAAATTAGTCGGATCGGCGGAAACCGGCAGCCAAGTCGGAAGGAATCGAATCGGCTGAGATCGGCAGGCTCGCACGCATCCAGTGAGAAATCGGAACCCAAATCGGAATCCCAAGTCGAGTCGAATCGGAATCGGAATCCATCGAAATCGAATCGAATCGGGGCAATCGAAATGAGCCCTGCACATGCCGAAGGGGGATGCGTTGAAGGATATGCGGGTGGCGCTCCATGGCAAGCTGCTGGCCTTGCGTGAGCAGCGGACGCAGCTGCGGCCACCCCCTGCGGCGCACAGGAAGGCTACCCAGGACGTAGCGAAGGCAACGTCGGCAGTCGAAAAGCACACGAAGGCGACCCAGGTTACGAAGGAGTAGCTGGCCAAGCTGCAGGAGGGTATGGCGAACCAGGATGAACTATTTGTGGCGAAGAAGGCAGATGCGGCGTCGCTGCATGAAGAGTTCGAGCGCGCCGCTGCGCTGCTGGCTCCAGGGGCAGGTTCGGCGACGGCAGGACGCGGAGCAGGTGGAACAACTCCTACCCCCAATTTGTGCCGATCAAGATCGAGAGCGCGGAGACGATCAAATCGTAATCGCCTGACCCCGCGCAATTCCTGAACGTCCTGTCGTGGCAAGAGCTGCATGAACACATCCGCGTGGATCTCGCCAACGCGGCCATGGGGCAAGGCGGTACGGCCTCTCCTGTTCCTGTTGGCGACGACGACGATGATGCTGCTGATGATGATGACGATGATGATGATGCTGATGATGATACTGATGCTGATGCCGATGATGATGCTGACGGCGATGCTGATGATGCGGATGATGGTGATGATGATGCTGCTACACATGGTGATGCTGAGTGTGCTGATGATGCTGATGGTGATGATGCTGATGATGATGATGATGGTGATGATGCTGATGATGATGCTGCTTACGATGCTGTTGATGATGAGGACGCTGATGTTGACGAGGATGCTGCTGCTGCTGATGATGCTGATGCTGATGGTGCTGCTGCGGCTGCTGCTGCTGATGATGTTGGTGATGCTGATGATGATAATGCTGCTGCTGCTGATGCTGCTGCTGATGATGATGGTGATGATGATAATGCTGAAGCTCTCGGATGTGCATGCGCCAAGTCTGCAGGCCGTCAAGGAGATGTGCGGCTTCGCGAATTTAGCGCCGATGGGGTCCCAGATGCTGTTCGCCAGCTGCAGCTCGTTCGATATCACCGCGAAGCTGCAGCAGCTCTTCGAGGGCAAAAGGCAACGGCGCTGCCGATCACGCGACGGAGGACAGGACATCTGGGGGCACGTCCGCGCGCTGCGGGTGCCATACGAGAGCCCTGTCAGCAGTGAGGCCCACGGGCGCGACACCTCCCCACGTCAGAGCGCGGGCCCGACTGAGGTGCTCCTCGAGCCTCGTGCCCTCAGCGTCGCCACGGGGTCTGCTGTCGGGACAGAGTGCCCCCGGAGGATCATGAGAGCGCGGGCCCGAGGTGCTCCGCGAGCCTCGGGCCCTCAACGTCGCCACGTGGCCTGGGCGCATGCAGTCAGTGGCTGGAGCCGGTCGGCAAGCACGAGAAAGGTCTGTGGACGGCAAGCGTGTCTTCATGGTGCTCAGGTCAGTGTCTGTCGGGGTGGTCCCAGGGAAGCCCCAACCATGCTCTTCCTGACATGGTCGATCTGCCTGCAGGGACATCAGCTCAAGAGTGTTCAATTGCAGTCAGCGGCAGCGAGATGGGCAGCTAAGCTTTCCTTCGCCTGGATTTCGAGGTTGGCGGAGTTGACTGGCGACGGCCCCCTGCACTCCAATGGCGGAGTAACCATCCTCGACAACGTGACGGCGATGATGACACCAACCCTGCTCGGTGAAGCGCTGCCATCGTGCCGTGTCGAGATGGTGAGGTTGAACATAAGCTTGGCGGTGCCGCACACGGTGCCAATGTATCTCGCCGCAAACATAATAATGACTGAACGGAACGTCGTCGTACCTGTGCATCTCACGGAACTTCCTGGGGCTCTGATGGGGCCGTGGATCATGTTGGGCAGCTTTGGTATGCTGCCAGAGGACATGCAGGAATGGGCTTCGAGAACTGGTGCGACACTGCCAACCACGGGAGTGTCGACTTGTGAAGG